AAAATACCTCAAAAAAACATAGTGAGTGGGGTCATTTCTCCACTGATCTGACCTGTAACTTGCTTTGGTGGCTCCATGTTACTATGGAAATTATGCCATATTGTGGAACACTTGGGTAAAACAAGAACATCTACACGAAGATAAGAAAGTGACAAACCTTCCATCTAGAACATTACATTCTTGATCCCTTAGGAAATGGAACCATGAATTATCCATATAATCCTAAAATAAGCCTTGTTAAAGTCCTATATTACATGCAATTGACTCTAGTGAAGTTTAAGCCATGTTAGAATAGTGTTACATCCTCAAAAAACTGGGGTTGTGTTTTGTTTCAATCACCCACGTTTCAGTAACCCTTTTTTATTATTAGTCGATTGGCTGATATATCGGGTCGATATTTGCACTTTTTAGGGCATCAGCTATCTGCCTTTAATCTCCAACAGAGGCTGGCATTTTGTTTTGGCTGACTTGCCGCTTCCTTAAAGTTTATGCATTAACTTTTATTTGAACACTAATTGAACAGCACAAAATGTGACTGCACTGCTCTCTTACAGATATATGCTGAAAAAAAAATGTGGGTCAGACTGTAGTAAATTTAAATTACATAACTTTGGGAAAATAATCAAAATCGGCTTATCGGCCATTGGTTGATCTCTACAATAAATATCATACAGTGAGATGCATATCGTGAAAATATTGTATTGAGTGATTTGGAAATCTCGAGTATTATTGCGTTCGTAAAACCTTCCAATAACTCTTGACAATTCCAAAGCTCTATACACTTTTTTGTTCTGTAATCGTGACCATGCGAATACATCAATAAACACCTCATAATCCTATGCAAACAAAAGTAGATCCGGTATGCATGTGTTCACAGAGGTCATATTGTCATTAATCACATTTACTGATAATTCACCGTCAATGCTTTATAACAGTTTACTATATAATTACATTTACACACATATTTCCATACTTATCAATGGACATTGTTACGTACTGTTATTCTATTGCCGTTGCGCCCTTATGTTGTAAAAAGTATGCAGTGTTTCCCATTAATAGCCCTACAGGAGACTCCAGTGGCTCACATAGTCTAAAATTCTCCCACAAAGTCTAAAAATAACCGGGACTCTATTGGCATTACAAAATTAGACTTTGTTGCTCTTGCATTATCATTAACTTTTAAAAGAGACTACAGTAGGCAACAATGACTGGTTGAAGATTAAATATACAGGAAGTAAGTGATATATATACTTCATGAACTGAATGGGAATTTATTTGTATATGGGAAATTATTTGTGCCACCTTAATCTTAACAAAATCTATGGAAAACACTGGTATTTTATAACTGTAACTAAAAAGTGAACCAAGACATCAGCTTGACCAGATCTCTGCACCAAATCATGTGATGCTAATATTTCATTCCAACTTATTTACTCATTCATAAATTCTGAGACACACCTTATTAGCCTCTTGTACAGGTTGCATTCACCTTTATTCATTCTGTTTCAGAAGGAGGGCAGGGGTCTTTTCCTATGGGAGATTTGTCATTTTTGGAAGAAATATCCAATCTTATGATCCACAAATTATTTGCTTGGGACAGTCTGCACAAACTTGCCGTTAATCTTATGGTTTAAATTCTTTTCAAATGACAACAATCACAGCTTTGGGGTTGAATATTGTTACCACTTTCTGAAGTTTTCTGAGGAATAATTTCACATTAGTTTGCTCCTGTTGACAGAGAAGATGTTGAACTTTGTAATTACGTGGCCTATCCATATGAAATAAAAATGGTCACAGAGATTTTAAGCCTAAAATCAAAATCTGTATTTTCTGACCTGTCTTCCATTTTAATGTTAAAATCCAGCTACTATGAGCCCAAAGCAGAACAACAGCATTAAAGACAGAGATATCACCTGGCACACTCCAAAGACCGACATTCAACTATTTACTCACATTTCTCAAGAGACTCATCACAGTTTCACAGGAGGTGAATTTAGATGGCTGCAAAGGATTTAACCTGTTTTCAAAGGTACATTTAATAGGAAACTGGCTATTCAAAATGTTGTTTTCAAATTATTACAATAGTAGCCTAATTAGATTCCTATTTTCCATAAAATAACAATCAATTAAAGGTCCTACATTATGCAAAATGGAAAACAGTGAAATTTAAGCCATGTTAGAATATTGTTTCCTCATCAAAAACATACCTGGAGTTGTCTTTCATTCACACATATTTGAGTAACCCTCTATTGTTAGTCTGTCTAGATCTCCAAAGCTCAAAATGCTCTGTTCCACTTTGTGATGTCATGAAGTGGTAGTTCTCAAGAAACCTTCAATAGAGATTGGCAATTCCAGGGCGGAAATCATACAAATTATTTTTGTGAAAGTATATGGAGTTTAAAAACACAGTGGAGCACTTCCTGTATTACCACATGACACACAAGTGTCTCCTGTTTTACAGAAGAACTCAGCCTAAATATGCAGGATTTGAGTGTTAAACATGTGGGAATGAAACAAAACACAACTCCAGGTCTGTCTGAGATGAGGAAACAGCATCATAACAGATCAGAAAATAGTGTTATATTGGCCCTTTAAAAGTACTCCACTGGTCTTGCATATTATCCCAATTATAGGCCAATATTAGTAAGAAAGTGATATGAAAATGGTAAAATGATAATACTAATAATTCATGTCCCTACTAATAATGTATTTAGCCAACCATCAGTTTTCCTAAGTAACACTCTTTGGATCCAACTCCTCAAAGATATGGCAAGAAGCTATTATGATATTATATTTTTATTATCAAACGTTTTCAATGTCTATGCTACTGGCTCAAAAATCTAAGAAGCCTACTCTATACCAACACTCAAGAAGCAAGCATTGATACAGGGCAAAAAGAAATATTTCAACAGCCTACAAATGATAAAAGTGTGATATTTAACAGTTTGCCATATTCTTTGCACTCTTCTAGCAGAAACTTTCACCAAGCCAAACTCAACTGTAGCTTCCATCGTTTCTTTTTAATTGGTGTAGGTTACTTAAGTGAAAGTTTGCGCGGCTAAGAGCACTCACCTGTGGCGGGCTCTGCTCCTCTCCTTGGCTCCGGTTCTCTCGTGCGCTCATGGTCCAGTCCCGGGACAAACGCGCGCTGCAGCCGTGCGCCCACACTGTCCGAGCCGCACGAGCTGTGTCTGCTCTGGGTGACACCTTGCGACAGTCTGCCTCGTGCCACGGGGGAGAGAGCACCCATCATCAGCGCAGAGGAGGAGGGTGAGAGCGCGCAGAGGCAGAGAGGGGGTAGTGCTGCCCCCGTGTGTCCATAGCATGCCATGACAGCTGAACCAGAGGCTTTATCTTTTATCTTTTCAGGCTATTGAAGTCATGGCCCACTAAATATCTGTGAAGTCAGAGGCCTAAGTAAAAAAATAAAGTACTTCATGAGACTCAGTTGTAGCATAAAACACACACATACATAAAAGGGTGCATTGCAATGTCAGTTAAATATGTTGGCACCTTCATAAAATAATGTAACGGACATGTATTATGTTTGCACCCCTTTGAAACTTGAATGCATTTCCACTCAGTTTGGTCTGCACCTGGGCCTGAATTCATTTTAATACATTTTTCTATCAGAGGTCAGGTCCCATTTTTTTGTCTTCCATGTGATGCTATTTTTCTCCATCTGTCTCCAGGATGTAAGACTTTCTTCTTTTCTTGTCCCCGTTTCATACATATAAACAGCTAAGAACTAAATAGACAGGGATCATGCCACTAACAGGAAGCCGTTATAAGTTGTATTAATGAAGCAAAGAAACAGTCTTTATCTTCAACACTGTAAACCATGCACATAAAAAGTGATGCAAAAAAATCTAAACATGAGACTGGATAAATGATGAAACTCAAAACAATATCTGGGTTATATTAGGCTATAAGTGTGATACGGAATTAAAAAGACTTGACAACAAAGGAAGTGTTTTACATGAAGTCTACTTGTCTGACTTGTGTTACCTGGAAAGTACCTTGGAAAGGCACCCAGAGAAGGCCCCAAACTGTGTCCCTGGTCCACAGATTCTCCTCTGTGTGAAAACATGACAAAGGAAGCTGGTAGTAGAAAGCAAGAACTGTGAAAATGTTCTTACAATGTGAAAACCCCTATAGTTCCCTTCATCAATGCATTTATAACCAATAAATCGATGTGAGCACTTGGATTTTTTTTTTTTTTTCCTTTATTCCTGGGGTTTCCAACCTGTATTTCAGGAGCTACCAGTAGCTCACCAAGGGATTTCAGAATTATACCATTGTGCTGAATAACAAAAATGTGGTTAATGACATGTCTATTACCATTGTAAATGTATAATTTTGAAGCCCAACCACTAATAAATGGACAGTGGTACCCAATGGTAACTGTACCCAAAGGCTTGCTCTCTTTCTTATAATTGTCTCAATTTCTTGTGGCACCTAAAACTAATAGCTCTCTGGCATTTTTGTTTTGTAAAAGTAGTTCACCGAAGGAAAAAGGTTGGAGACCCCTGCTCTAGTCTATAGTGTAAAACAATTTTGACCAATAGAGGGCAGTGACCAACAAATTTATACACTGGTATATTTTTATAGATTATGTTAATGAAATGTTTAGATTTTTGGGAAAAGTAAATAAAAAGCGCACACTTCCGTAAGAAAAAACTAACAAACAAACAAAAAACATATTACAACTTACAAACAACTTACAAACTGTCAAGGTAAAAAATACACGCTTTGGGCTAACGTGCATGTAGGCCCCATAATGTAGTATAATACCAGTGTCCTAACTTTCACTTCACACCTAACTACCTGCAAACAAAACAAAAACTAAATAGAGACATCCTAGATACACATCCCTGTTTTCCGGGTAGTTTTTTAAGGCTTTTTATAGCCCAATCTATAACTCCGTATTGTTGTCGTAAAATCAAGAATATCAATAGATTATCCCACAGTCATTGAACGCCACGCAACACCCCAGTGACCTCAGGAGAGAATAAGCCACAGCAGCGGGGAAACAGCAGTAATCTGACCCAGCGGAGACTCACAAAAGGTGGCGATGACTTTTACGAATGTGCCTTACGGATGTGCATGCTTCTATTTAAATCAGCTATGCACATGAGCCTAAAACTTTACTCTTTAGGCGGACTGAATGTCGAAACTACCAGGAAATGCGGGACTCACGGTGCTCGGGGATAAGTCCCTGGAGTTCTACCGGGATCCAGTGAGTTTTTACCGGCAGAGGATGGAGAAACACGGCGGCGAGAGTGTTCCAGAGCCGCCTCCTCAACCGAGCCACCGTGTTCGTGTGCTCCGTGCGAGGGGCCAGGGAGCTGCTTTGTGGTAACTACAACATACACCTGCATCTGTGTTTTTATAGTCTTGGAATTTGTTAATCGTACTTTAATAATAATCATACAGCCAGTGTAAGTGTGCATGCATAGGGTACTGTGGTGTAGGCTACATGCTGTATTAAAAAAAAAAACTCATACAGCCAGTGTAAGTGTGCATGCATAGGGTACTGTGGTGTAGGCTACATGCTGTATTAAAAAAAAAAACTCAAACTGGACAGATGAAGCAGAGGAGCAAAAAAATGGGCGGAGTTTACAGGTGCACCAGCAACAAATACGATTCTTTGGATTTTGAGAGTGGGGAATATACTTTTTTCGTTAATTTTAATATTTTGGATGGGTAACGGGGACAACACGTGTGTATTTTCTAACAAAAACAATTAAAATACTTCAAATGAATGCCACTATATGTACAATGATTCCAACCCCCCCCCAAGTAGTAGTCTATAGCATAAAAGCACCCCAGGATTAGTCAGATCAGTCATGGGAGAAACTTGTGACTCGTTTTCAAGTGTAGAATCTCACTAGTCTATTGTAGCAAGTCAACTATAAAAGAGCTGATGGTGCCTTTCATGGGCTGTAGAACAAGGAAATACTCATTTATTTAATATGATTTATTTCTTCATGTTTTAGATGTAAAATTATTCTTCTGTGTGTTACAGAAAAGTCCAATATTTTTCAAAAGGACCCCACAGATTTGATGACAAACATGTACGGAGATACGATTGTCACCACCAATGGTATAATTTAACAGTGAGGCCTTTATCATCATATCATCAATTTTGTAATATTCACCAGAACCTTTTACTTGAAATAAACTTAATACCTGTTTAACTGATGGCATACTTTTTAAATTTAGGTGAAGAGGCAAGTCTTCTCCGTCTGTCGTTTTCCAGTCTTTTCACAGGAAGTAGTTTAGAATCAATGAAGGCCTACATAACCAGGTAAGGACAACAATACTAAATAAGATTTAATAAATTCTAATCCATGTCATGACTTAGAAAATTTATTTTAAAAAGTTGCTGTAATGTAACTATTGCATGATCAAATGTAAAATAAAACATGTAGTATAACATGTCTACTAATGTTGCAGTGCTCTTTTCCTATTTTTTTAGTGTGTGTGAGCAACATCTGAAGGATCTTTCACAAAGGTAAAAACAGTGCGTCAGTTTTCATATAGTTATTTGTAATTCAGTCCTTTTTGCTAGTTTAGTCCTGGTCTCAAATAAGGTTTGTAGAACATCATTTTTGAAGCCTTATTACTTTAGTTTTAGCTCAAACTAGACTAAAATATTTTGGATGTTTTAACATTTTGGTTGTTTTAATTGCACTGAAAAACCTGCATGCATCCTGTGGGCTTGCATCTCCACAACCCTTATTCTCACTCTTATTTCGGCATCCACCTGCTTGTGTCCATGGAGATATTGACTATAATATTCCACAGTATGGCATAAACAGAATCATACACAGTGTAGTCAACAATTAAAAACAAACCATATTCCTTATAAATGGTCCAGTGGTCCTAAATCATATGAATGTAATTTTATATTTTATGCTAACTTTGCAGTGGTCGTCCAGAGTGTGCCTATTCTGTGTTTAAGTCTTTGGGGACACACCTGGTGTTGGGACTCTTTCTGAATGTTCTTCCAGAGGAACAGCCTGAACTTTACCAGGAAATCTCTCAGCTCTGCACACAGCACTGGCACGGTAGGAATCATGGTCCAAACCGTGTGTGTGACAAAAGAGTGATAAAAGAAAGTCTGCTTTTACAATAGAGTTGCATACACTTCCTCATTTGTTCTTCCTGTACCTCTTGTGTCACTGCTGTCTACCACAGGTCTAATCTCAGCCCCCATCAATGTGAAAATACCCATGTGGTCGTCCGGCTTCTCCACAGCTCTCGAGGCCAGAGAAAAGCTCATGGCTATCATTAAAGACAAACTGCAAAATGACAAAAATGGGTAAACCAAGTAAATGATCAACACATACACACTCATAAATTATGCACACATTTTATGATAATAACCTTGTTCTATAAATAGATTATAATTACTTTATTATGTTGCTAGTTTTATTAATTCACTCACATTCTTAATATCTATAGCCAGGTCAAAGAGCTGTCTAAGCAGATATCCCATAACACATACTTTACATTATTATTATTATTATTATTATTATTATCATTATTATTAAATTTACTGCTACCAGAATTTATTGCAAAATTTAAAGATATTGATTGCAAAAAAGTATCACAGTTTGTTGATATTTGAATTGAATTTTCCTCTCCTCTGTAGTTTTGTTGGCACACTGGGATCCTTGCCTTTGCCTGACTCCAGCTCTGCCTCTCAGCATCTTCTGCTGTTTATCTCCGCTTTGATCCCCAAAGCTCTGGCATCTCTGCTCACCTCTTTTGCACTAGCACTCAGTGGCAATGACCAGGTGAAAGCAAAACACAGTTTAAATTTTGTGTATGTTTTTTAAGTAATGTGTAATTATTAATTAGCCATGGTCATTTGTTCTTTACAGGCGGAAACCCGTAGAAAAGCATTGCAGGATCCTGATTACTTACAGTTAGTATTGCTGGAGGTCCAAAGACTATGGCCTGCTTTCATTGGTGGACGAAGGATAGCAAGTCAGGTACATTTCCACTATAGTGTTTTCCCCTCAAAATGACAAGATTTGATTACTTCTGGTATAACACCCAACACATCAGAAATAGGTGTTTTGTATGTACCATGTCTCATAGTGTGCATAGAAACATAATTCCTTAAAATTCCAATGTGAGCACAGTTTAATAACTGTATAAGAAATAGCAATAATCTCAAAGTAAAGCTAGTGTAAGATAAAGTTAAAACAGAAAGAGAAAATGTATTTGTCCCACAGTGTCCCATGTTGCAATGCACAGTTCAAGAATAGCTGAAAAAAGAGATTTTCAATCAACAACCATCAACAAATAACTAAAAGAAGAAGTAAAGTTCTTCATTATGTATACTGCAGAGTACATATTTTTGTTTATTCACATTTGTCCACTAGGTGGCGATAGTGAACTGCATTTACTTCTGGTGGAGTCTGTGTTTTTAGCATAGACGTATTGGTGATGCTTATAGCACTAACTTCCAGCCCTGGTGGACAGCAACTATTGTATGGTTATACAATACTTCTTTGTAGATGAATTTGAAGTTTTGAAGTATTTTGCATGTACTTTTGGCAAGTGACATTTTCATATCATGTCTGTTCTACTAATTTCCACAGACACAAGCATCTTAAGTAATATATTTGTTGGCATTTCCTTACTTGTGTAATATTATTTTGAAATACTTGCACTATCACTTTTGTTTTTGAGCGTCTTCCAATTCTCCTCTTTGACAAGCTCTAGGTAAAGTTAAGGTACACTTTATGGACTTGATTGCATTGTATTGTCCTCTGCCCTTGACCCATTCCACTGGAGCAAGCTGTTAGGAGCTAGAGACCCATCTCCAGATCTTGATCTAGACTTGGCCAGAACTAGTGCTGGTTTTGGATTGTAGGAAAAAAATCTGAATAATATAGTAATTTACAGTTAATAGTTAAACATAATAGGACATTGTGATCTAGAAAATCAGCAGGTATATTCTCTACTTTTTCTCAGTTGATTTGAGGCTTTTAGCTCTTGTTCAGTCATCTTTGATCCGTGTGACCTCATTGGATGGACTTATGTAAGAGCCCAATCAGGGGCATTGATCGGGCCCGGTGATGGATTTGCTCTGGCCCCCGGAAGGCAGCACGGACACAGGCGGCGGTGGGGATCGGAGTGGCGAGAATGGCGAGGGGGGCCAGGGGGGTAGAGGGGGTGGGGGGTGCAGTAGTGACGCCCGTTAAGCCGAGTGGAAAGTCGTTTGTCACTTCCAGGAAATGCACCAGTACACTTTGTATTACTGATGACCTTTGCGAGTTCACTACTGGCTGACTTTGGCACAGTTGTACGGTGAAGTGAGTGGAAGTGTAGGAAAAACACAGAAAAAGATTGGAGTACTGGCTTTCTAAGCTTTTTTTGAGTAATTAAACTCAAAAATCAAAAAAATTATTGTTAAAGAAAGAATATGCTACTGCAGTAGTGGTTAAATTATATATAATGTTTATTTATGGTTATGTTATGATCATGGTGACATTCACAATTTTAAGTGATGGTACATCACTTTTTGGAAGTGGAAAGACACCTGCATAATTCCATTGAAATAAAGTTAAAGCCATTCTTCTGAACATTCTACATGGAAAACATTTTATGCAAAGGACAAGCAGGAGAAGTCCCTCCTCCTGGCCAAATACGAGCCAGTTTTTTTTTTTGTGGAGATGCAAGCACACTCAAAGAACACATTTTTTCCCTAATGAAAAAAAAAATCATGCTTTTATTTATTTATTTTTTTTTTAAAGTTACTGTACATACTGTGACTTTAAAGTGTGGACAATTCATTATACAAATGATGTCCATAATGAGCCTTCTTACTGTTACATAATTTTTTCCACCACAAAATGTGAATTTATATTGAAGTTCTGACAATTAATTCCCAGTAGAAAGTGAAATAAAAAAGATAATAGGTTGGATTATGAAGAATCCAATTCAAGTAAAAGTATCATGCAAATCCAAATATTTGTAGTAGCCTTTTTTTCCGTTTTTACTGTTCATTATCAATTTAGTATTTAGTTTTTAATATATAAATAGATTCCATGACATTTATTATAGATTCTTGTGTGTATCTCTATTTGGAAGAATGACATGTCTTCTTTCCACCTAAACATTACTCACAAACAGAATCAGGAACCGGATGGGGGGATGTTTTTGCGCAGGCAGTGTCAGGTGATTAGTATTCACTATCAGGTGGAAAAGTGGAGCTCCGTCAGGTAGAACTAAGATATGCACTCGTTTTCACCGTGTTTGGCCAGAATGAACTCCGCAAGGCCACAGACATCTTTCGGCCAAGAGATTTGTGAAAAGATTTTCCACTCCAGCAGAGAGGGTCCGAGAGCGAGAAACGAGAGAGGGTAGAAGAAAGAGAAACAGCAATCATGTACTCTGGCAGTGCATTAGAGCTGCCTGCGTCTAATGGATGGACCCAAAGAGTGGATAAACAGGGCTACAATAGGCTAAGTGCTCTTTTTGCCCAAGGTGCCTGCTTTCATATAGGCCTTTGTGAAAAACAGATTATGAATTTTCTGTCAACTATGATTATGTTGTTTTTTTTTCTTCTTCTTTCTTTGTAAAGTAGGTTTTGTTAAGTTGAGTTTGGTCAAGGTCACTTAGGGAAAAGGAGAAGCAGGTGGTATCAGGTGAAGTAATTCATTGGACTGAGTGAACCTTAAAGATAGAGGACGTAAGAATGAGAATATATCCAGACTGAGCTGGTGATACAGTGAATTAATATACCTTAACCCTAACATATTTCAAATGCATAAAATCAACGAATCGGCAATTTCTAAACTACTGATTGACTCATACGTACAAAATTGTAATATAAACACCGTTTTCACAATTAATAATCCAAATCAAATTTTCAGATTTCAACCTAAATCAAATGTATAGGTGGAGCTCCAGATGATTTTTTTTTTTTTTTTGCTAAGAAAATCAGTCAGACTGGCATTTAGGATGCGTTCACACTTTGGTCCTGGTTTGATCCTAGTTTAATCCTGGTTTAGATTTGGTTTTGTCCTGTTCTAGTCCTGGTTTAGTCCTAGTCTAGGTTTTGTTTTGTGTTTAGACCCAGTTGAGTCCTGCAAATTTTGATGTGGTGTCTTTGGTTGGATATTTATCACATTGAGGGTACAATAATGTGTATGTACACATTCACATCATGGTGACCTGCCTCTGTTATGGGCACAAAAAACGGTCCCCCATGACATAAATGATATATTATTAGATCAACAACATGGCTTAAAGGGCCTATATTACACTGTTTTCTGATTTGTTATAATTTTGTTTTTCATCAAAAGCATGCCTGGAGTTATGTTTAGTTTCATTCATGTGGTAATAAAGGAAGTGCTCCACTGTGTTTTTAAACTCCATACAATTTCACTAGAATCATTTGGATTATTACAGTCCTGGAATTGCCATTCTTTACTGAAAAAGGCAAAAGGTAGCTGCTAATTTAAAACCTACCACTATATGATACCACAAGGTAGAACAGAGCATTTTGACCTTTGGAGATGTAGAACAACTAATAAACCAGGATTACTCAACCATGTGTGAATGAAACAAAACGCAACTCCAGGTCTGTTTTTTGTGAGGAAAAGGCATTACAGTATAACAAGGGTTAAAGCTCACAAGAGTCAATTTTGTGTAATATAGTTCAGATATGGGTTCAACTGTTAAGGTTAAGGATTAAGTTAAGGTTATGCAAGTGATAACTGTGGTTAAGGTCAGATTCAGACTCCAGGAAATGAATGAAGGTCAATGTAATGCCCCATTAGGCATACAAACCCAACATCTGAATGTATTCCAAGAGAAAATTATCTTTTATACAGACAAGATCCTACAACAAAATTAAAGTACTACCATATATATATATATATATATATATATATATATATATATATATATATATATATATATATATATATATAAACCATTACAAATAAGTAAAAATGTAGCAATACATAGGAGCTCTAACTTGGTTGTTAGATCACAAAAGGTCCACGAAGATGACATTTTTACAAAATTAGGCCTAGACTAAGTTGAAATGATGCTGCTTGAGGACATCTTGATTGAGTACACTTAGAGGGAAAATAGGTCTTTCATCAAAAACACCATTTTACACATTTCCTGTGTCATTTTGGTGTAATTATGGCTCGGTCTGAGTCATCCAACCTCTCCTCAGCACATGGCATGTTTTGGAGTCTGTGTGTAGTCCAGATAACAGTTATTTGAATACTAAAATAGTGTACAATTATGTCAGTTTTGATTAATCAATTAACTTGATCTGGCACTTACTATCATCAGGGTGGGATATGATAAGATGATGTTAAATAGACTTGCACAATACATCACAATCAAATCAAGATCATGTTTTGAGCTGGAGCAGTTAACAATTTGCAAAAACTGCAACAGAACATCTACAAAGAACAAATATTGTACTTGTATTTTAGACCTCCACAAACATGTTCTGAAATTCATGGGATTTGGGAGTTGTATTAGTATATCAGTTCAGATTTCAGTTTTCTCTCAAATGTTATTGCTGCTGGAGTTTACAATGTGCACTCTGAACAGAATATTTTTTTCCACAATTGTGCGGCACTAATATAAATTATAGTCGGTGGAGTTGTTTTAGAAATGTATGCATGTCCATGGATTTCAGAATGATGAAAAACAGCACAGCTGCCATGGAGATAAACAAGAAGATTTTATTTATTTTTTGAATGGGTTCTGAAAATGTTTCATATAACAAAAACATATGATTTTTTACATTGCATAAAAAGTATTCTAGAACCACCTCATTCTTTCATAATAATTATTTTTTTACTTCTCACACAGGACTGTACTATCGCAGGCTTCCACGTCCCCAAAGACTATGGTGCCATCTACATTAGCCATGCAGTGCACCGGGACCCAGAGGTGTTCCAGGAGCCTGACAGCTTTGAGCCAGAGAGATGGAGAGAGAGGTGAGAAGTTGTGAGAAATGCTGCCCAAACATAACATTTATCCTGCCAACTCCCAGCACACTGCAGCCACAGAGCCAGCAAGGGGAACAATGGAAGTGTAGGCTGCCATTTCAGTGATTTGGTCTTGTAAGGAAATGTTTTATGGAAGGGGAAGATAGATTTTTGCTGTTATTCTAGTTTGAAATGCCATTTTGGTTTAATCCAAAGAAACAGTTCCATTGTATAGCATATTAGTATAGGTGTCACTTATATTTTGTATGGCTAGATAATAAATACTGCATTATATCAGTAAAAAAGTTGTAATTGGTAAGAAAATTGGCCTAGGGCTTTTGAATTTCAATCCGTATATTTTCCACTTACAAAAATTGTGTAACTGAAAATACAATTTATCATATATACAATTGCTCAGCTCCTCAAAATATGGAGCAAAAACACTTTTCAAATCTACATACATAAAAAAAAAAATAGAAGAAAAATGACTAAAAGACATGTAATTGTTTGAAATAATTGTGATTTGATTCATGAGCCAAATCTTTTTTTTTTTTCATAATTCATAATTGATCAACCGTACCCTAGATCACAATTTTGGAAAACAAAGCATTTTGTGGTGTTTTTTTTTTTTTGTACCTAACTGACTGGTCATTCAACACCATATTCCTACTTCATTTGTCATCAAGTTTATTGTTACGCAAAAATACAAAGTGTTTGCAAAATTAAAAAATAAAAATCACACAAGTTTAAAAATATAACATTTTAAAACACCAAAACATTAAAATGAAAAATATGATACAAAATGAATACTGTTATATAGAAAGAGAAGTTATAACAGATAAAACATCCCCCAAAGCTATACCTGCAGCTGTTTTCCAAATGTCAGTGGACAGAGCCATAAAAGGTGACCGCTGTCCCAGGAGTCTCTGAGGTGAGATGAGTCAGAGACAGGCACAAAGGAGCCAGTAATCGCCACAGTAACAAACTGCTCACATTAAACCACCGCTCTCCAGCACTATTAACAGTACTTACCAACTTCAGTCAGGTATCTGCATTTTATAATGAAACCAGGAAAATGGCTGCTATGTAGAGTTAGAAAACCTTATGGAATTAGTGTATGTAATGAATGCACATAAATGTATGATACTGTACCACTAAAATGACTACACCTTAAGAACAAATAGTTAAAACGGCTTATTAAGAATGATTTAGACTACACAAAAAAGCAGTTAGGAGTATTAACTTATGTAGTTACCTCCCCTGAATCATTCCTCCTGAATTATTTTTCAGTATGAATTAGTGCTTTATCAAAAGAGTGGTTATTATGACGTGTCACTATGTACTGCAAATACTAGGATCAGTAGTCTACCTTTGTGGTGTGACATTGTCATTTTTTATGAAATTTCACAATAGAGAGAGCATTAACACATTTGAAGGGATTCTGCTATTCATTGCTATTCACCTATAGGCTCTTAATACCTCAACCTCAACCCTGGCAATATTGATTTCTGAGTTTTCTCTTTTAAATAAAAAAATAAAACAAAATCTGACCCAGGATAGATTTGGACAAAAGCCAACAAAGCCATCAGATGAATTAGAAAATAAGTATACAATGAATACATGCGATAAGAATTTTACTAGTATGGAAATAATGTCTGTGAAGCATTGATTTGCTGATTTGTGCAATGGAATATGCGTTTCACACTCAGACATATCATGTTTGTCTAGACTGCAGCTTTCATTGTGATTCTATATTGAGAAATCACACCCACAGTTATGTTTCATACACACGCCTACACCGTTGCCACGGAAACCAATGCAGATAGATTAACAATGCCTCAGTGCTCCAATCTCCCTAGTTATTTTGACTGCAGCCTCTTATCAAATAATAGCAATGAAATGTATTATGAATAAATTCTTTCATCTTTCTGACAGTCCACCATCTACAAAATAAAACTTTTTTTTTTTCAATGTCACTATCTCAGTTCCATTCATATATTTTTACTCATTCATAGTCATTCATTCAGACAGCAGTGCACCCCGTTCACAAGGAGGAAAGAAAAGTCTATGAATGCATGCAGGTTGCTGCTGTCATGGCAACCAGTCACGTGACCCGGTCTTTACCAATGGGGATTCCCTCTTTATCAGTGAGCGCGTGTGGGGCAGGGTGGGGAGGGGCGGGGAGGGGGGAGAAGCCATGATGCCCCGCGGTGCGTGAAGGGACACAGAAATGACTCATTCAAGATGCTATCCTCTGAGTGTGACACAGAGGAGAAGGTGATTCCTCAAACAGGAAATAGCCCTTTTAATTGCAATTAGGAAAAACCCAGCAGGCTCTAGACACAGGGGAGCACCTATAGTTATTTTTAGAAAGTCATTATACAGTATATAATACTGTTTCATATAATTGTAACATTTATGTTTATTTGGATTTTGGTCTAATAAATACTCTACAATTACTTGAAACACAGATAAAAATATGTATTTATAGTAATTATTATTTTAAGGATTCATAAGTAGAAAGACTTTGTTGAAACTGTTATACTAATAGCTAACAATTTTGCAGTATATAGACAAATAGAAAAAATATAATGCTTGGTTGTGGGGCTGCAAAAATTAATCAACTAATCTTGACTAGGCGACTATAAAAAATAATCTTATTTGTATTTTGGTAATAGTTAAACTTAACTTTACTATACAGACTCTGAAACCGATAAGAAAAGACCGTTTTATATTGAATACAGTGGTATTATTAAATCAACAATTTTGGATGTTATCAATAACACACTTTATTTTTAAATGTTCTCTGTTTAGACACCTTCAGTCACGATATTTCAACATTTATTTGGTTGAAAATGTATTTGTATGTTTCAGTGTACAATGTAAATAACTGTTTAGTTAACTAATCGAACAAAATATAGACTTTGGATTACTAAAATAATCCTTATTTGCAGATCTACAAAAGAGACCTAAATAAAAAAAGCACAATTTACATTTATTTATATTGTTGTGTTGGTTTAGTCATATTAATCTGTTGTCACTGTCAAAGGAAATGATGTGTCGTATGTAATCTGGACTAATGCATTGGAATGGGCAGAGAGGCGGGTAGCCAACGCCATAGTAACTGTCCACATCACACCCCTTTGCCAATGGGGAACCCCTCCTTTTTTTTTGGTTGTGTTTCCTCTGCAGAGGTGGGGATATGACTCATAAGGTATTTTTCTGTCAGACGGTTTGTTGTGCAACTATATGATGCGTCATTAAACTTCTATAGGCTATGGGCACAACACGAACTGCCTATATATAGTGGCATGACCTTCAGTTTTATAATAAAGTTTTGTTATGTATAGTTATTGCACCGTAGTAAAAAAAAGTTAGATGTGAATCTTTGGTTATAATTAGAAGAGACAGGGTGGATAGACAGGCTTTGCTGCCATGGTAACTGTCCACCTCACACCCATTTTACCAATGGGGATTCCCTCTCGTCCATATTTTTTTTCCTTTTTTTATTTGTGCAGCCGTGTGTGCTCTGCTGGAAGAGGTTACAGAAATGACTCATAGAATATATTTCTGTGAGGCAGACTTCGTGCTCAGAAAGTCAAAGGTGAGAGAAGACTACAGCTCTGTATTTATGAAGGTAGTTAAGCTCTCATTCTCACAGCCTTGTAATCCGCCTATTTACTCCAACATCAGTCTAGATAAGGGAAATCTATTATTATTTGACCTATGTATTGCTAAAACACAGTGTATAGTAAAATATTCTCAAAAATGACTTTTAAGTTCACTAATACAAAAGAAAATAAAGCTACATATAAATTCCCAGAACTGAAGAAGCAGCTTGGATGAGCTACGAAACATATTTGACCAAAAACACTTTTGTCCAGTTGACAAATTGAATTTCTCCTTTTGCCATGGATTTTACCTGGATGACTGAGGGATTTTATGCACATTTTTTTACACACTAAAGAAAGTAAAAGTAAAAAAATACTGAACAATTTAACAACACAATCATTTCCTCATGCATGTGTAATAAGCAAACTGAAGCTGATGTCAAAATGACCCATGTCATTTATCATGACATGAGCAAATGTCACATTGGCGTGGAACAACTTGTATAATATAGGGATGAACAATTTGGAGAAAATTGCACTGACAAGAATTGAGACTAAAATTAGATTTGCATTTTATGGTTTAATAATAGGATTCTGTTCACATTTTAAATGCGAAGAACTGACAGAAAACCAAAATATGAACTCAGAACTATAATAATCACATTTCAGAACATGAACATCCATCCATCCATCCATTTTCGTCCGCTTATCCGGGGCCGGGTCGCGGGGGGAGCAGCCTAAGCAGGGACTCCCAGACTTCCTTCACCCCAGACACGTCCTCCAGCTCCTCCGGGGGGACCCCGAGGCGTTCCCAGGCCAGCCGAGAGACATAGTCCCTCCAGCGTGTCCTGGGTCTTCCCCGGGGCCTCCTCCCGGCGGGACATGCCCGGAACACCTCCCGAGGGAGGCGCCCAGGAGGCATCCGGAACAGATGCCCGAGCCACCTCAACTGGCTCCTCTCGACGTGGAGGAGCAGCGGCTCTACTCCGAGCTCCTCCCGTGTGACTGAGCTCCTCACCCTATCTCTAAGGGAGCGCCCAGCCACCCTGCGGAGGAAACTCATTTCGAGCGCTTGTATCCGCGATCTCGTCCTTTCGGTCACTACCCAGAGCTCATGACCATAGGTGAGAGTAGGAACGAAGACTGACCGGTAAATCGAGAGCTTCGCCTTTCGACTCAGCTCCCTCTTCACCACAACGGTCCGATACAGCGACCGCATCACTGCCGAAGCTGCACTGTACAGAACATGAACAATACAAATTTAATAAAATTGTACTTATAAACACTTTCCTAATGTCAATAAACACAATAAAAACAACATTAATACAATAGTAAGAACATTAAAGGGCACATAATATGCTAATTTCTGATCTGTTATAATTTTGCTTATCAAAAACACAAACATAGGTAGCTGTTAACTTGAAAACTACCATTAAATGACATCACAAGGTGGAACAGAGCATTTTGAGCTTTGTAGACAGACTAATAAAGGGTGGCTCAAACATGTGTGAACGAAACAAAACACAACTCCAGATATCTCTTTGATGAGGCAACAACATTATAACATGTCTCAAAGCTCACAAGAGTCAATTTTGTGTAATGTAGGACCTTTAAACCAAATAAGATAACGTAACATATTATCACCACATTTTTTTTACAATAATTTTTAACAGATGCTTCTCTCCGAAGTCTACAACATCATAAAAACAGGTTTACATAAAAACACTCCACTCACGGTTGCACAGTGGGTTATGTGAGTCCATTTGCCTGGCTGTAACTACACATCCGGAGTCTCCTCTCACGGCACCGTTTCCGGCTAACACATAATGGTCTGCGGGTTGCACATTTACCATGTTAATTGGGCCATGTATTGATCTATCGGAAGCGTAAGTGCTTGTACGGCCAGGCACGCTACAATCTCCTATGCTGCATTAGCTGTTGTTTGAATGGCTGCTATCACACAGATTTCCTGAGGGATAAACAAATTACCTGCAAGTCTAACTACCTGTGTGGGTTTTGAATACGGTTGTGTATTTTCCGGTCCTGGCTTCCTTCCTCTTTCTGTGATTTTTCCATCTGGAGACCGCCTCAATAGTTTCCACTTTGCCTTGCTTGCCACCTGCCCATTGAAATTAATGACTGCAGTCTTGTTATGTAACTAATATTTCTGTGTCTCCCTGCTTGCTTGTGGTGTGAGGCAGGGGTTGTGTGCTTTTCCAGTTGGGAGCAAATATTGTATCCGTAGCAGGGGTAGCTCCCTATCAGGCCAGGCACCCACGCAGGCTCCAGACGGCTGATAAATGGATCGGAAAACACCAAATGCAGAAGAGGAGTCCCAGCCGCTGGAGCTGGTGGACTGGATTTTACATAAATCTCAGGGGGGTAGTAGGGCTTTTTCTCTAGAGGACAGGCTGAATTGTTTGAGTGGAAAATTGCTGTTGATAGAGTTGTTGGGGTTTTTTTTTTTTTTTTTTTTATCATCTTTTCATCCAGTCCACCCAAAAAATGTAACAACATAATAATTTCCTCATGCATGGGTAATTATCTTAATGAGGCCTATGTCAAAGTAACCCATGTCATTTATTGTGAGCAAATATCACACTGGCTTATCAAACCAGAACCAATAATACAGCTATAGTTAGAATTGTGTAAATATTTATAATATATAATATAATTGTTTGAGTGGAATTTTTTTTTTTTTTTACTTCATCCTGTCCAAATTATTAAAACTCCCTGATCTTGTAGTGTTATACAGAATTTATACTATTCAAAGCCTTCAATAAATCAATTACCAAGTGCAAGTTTTTGCTCCTAATGAAATAATTTGGTTTGAATATTATAAAATGTTCATTTCTAAATTCTCTTTTTATGTGACTGTGGGTGAAAATGTGGAATGCTCTGGATTTACAACAAAAGCAATGCAGAATATTTCATAGTCATGCTCATGAAAGACCAGGAAAGTGTTTTGGGTTTTTTTTTGTTTTGTTTTGTTTTTACTTGAAATAAATGAAATTGAAATCAAATCAAATGAAATACTGACTGAAGTAAAGTTACAAATACAAGAGGAACTATAGAGCATATTAGTAGCTTCATGTAGTAATGATAATAATAATAATGTTTGTGATGTCTTGTGTTTGAGAGTCTGGATGGTTTACTTAACAATTAAGATTATCATAATACAATGATGACTATTAATGACCAATTATGATTATTCCTGTTAATTCCAATTTATATCATATGTTAGATGTAAATTTAACTGTGAATATAATGTATGCATCAATGTTAAGTCTATATAATTTTTACTACAAGAAGTACTTCTTATACTATGATATCACTGCAGCAGTTGTTAGAGACATTGGCACAGTGGCTGAGTGGCTAGCACTCATACTTAACAGCAACAAGGGGCCAGACCACTGGGTTTCCATCTGGGGTATCAACCTAAAACATCTTCCACCAAGGTAATCTTGAGCAAGCCTGTGTGAAGTGAGTATGAGTGAAGGATGAGTCAAATACTGATGTCAAATTTCCTTACAGGGACAATCAAGTCTGTTGCCACCTAAAATATATAGAAAACTAAATAAAATATTTTACTTTGGGATGTGAAATGTACTTTCAAATATACCTCTTGGTTCAAATCTATAGCGCCACATTTAAGGAATAAATTCTGGAACAAAGAATTACACAGCAATCATCACCTCCTCTCACTTCCTGCTCATCATTACTGCTCTTACTGTTGTTCATCCCCACAATAGGCCTGGCTGTGTGAGTATGTTACCTCATTACACTGATGCAGCACAGAGTGAACATTCAATACCTCCTGCTCTTATACAGTGGAGCCCATAGCAGTGGACTCTCCTCTCTTCTAATGCTTCCTGTTTGGCTTTAATCAGAGCTCAGGTTTCAGGAAGACAGGACGCATTAGCGGAGACAGGAGGAGGTCTGCATCAGCGTTATGACGGCTGGAAGGGAGTGATTTATGTCCCACATTATTTTAGAAGACTGGGCCATAAAGAGGTACTGGAGAGATAAGGAAAATGGAATAGGTTGCATTCAGATGACATCACATTCTGAAATCCGCCATATAGTTTAAAATTGAGTTGAAGGACAGGTCAGAAGAATGCCTATGGGGGATTTGCTGTTTAAAGGGCCCATATTACGCTATTTTCTAATGTTTTTTCATCATCAAAGACATACCTGGAGTTGTGTTTCATTTCATTCACTTTTAACACACAAACCCTGCATATTTAGTTCTTTTCTCAAACAGAAGACACTGTCCCACCTTGTGATGTCATATGGGAATACACGAAGTGTGCCACTGTCTTTTTTCCATACTCTTAACTCCTTACACCTTCAATTATTTGGATAATTTCAGCCCTAGAATTGCCCATCTCTACTGAAAGGTAAAAGGTAGTTGTTAAGTTGTTGTTGTTGTTGAAAACTATAGCTTCATGACATCACAGCGGGGAACAGAGCATTTTGAGCTTTGGAGGCAGACTAAAAATTAAGGGTTTTGTGAAGGAAACAAAACACAACTCCAGGTATCTTTTTGCCTCATACAGGACCAAGGCTTTTACAGTGTATCTGTACTGGGGCAAAAAATATTTTACTTCATTATCTGAAAATGGGTAGGCTAATATCTAATCTCTATTATTGGCATAAAACAAATTATTATTCTCTGTCCATATAAATTTTAAAAAGTGCGATTGTTGTCAAGGACTTTAAGCCAAGGTTAAACATCGGGTTAATAGGTTCATAGGCCCATGCCCTCCATCTGAAATCATGACATCATGAAATTCTAGTGTAAACAAAACCTACTGAGAAAACACAGGTTTTAGAAAAGAAATAGATATCAACTGCAATTTTGAAGTTTTGTCTAATGTTGTCTAATGTGTGTGTTTGTTGCAGGAATGCAGGCCAGGAGCACCTCCTCTGTTCTTTTGGAAATGGACCAAGGAGCTGTATTGGAGCTAAACTCACAGATGTTTTCCTTAAGGTGACTCCTGATGCACTCTCACAGTCACACCAACATGCTACACTTTTTATATACAACTGGGGCCATGAAACAAAATAGGGCTTTGCAATGTGGCAAAATGCAATTATCAAATTAACTGGCTTTGATTATTAATTTCATCAACCAATCAGTCAAGAAGAGAGGAGTGTAGTCAGTGCCATTGAACACATACAGTTATCTGAACTCCACCACATGCTTTTACTGACAGAGGTTTGGCTGTGGGCTTTTCAGTTTAAAAAACCCAAGCTTACAATTGACTATTTCAAACTGCTAGATCTTGATTCAATTAAAATGTAATTTTTAAAATTTTAATACCTTACTTGTGGCTGCATTAAAATATGCATTGAAAAGAGTATTAGGAAATCCCAAAATCCAAAATATTTTTACATGTTAAATTTTCCTTCAAGTGAAAACCATAGATGTATAAAGAAGTGGACAAAGGAGTGTGACGTCAATCCAGTCAAATGAAGCTCATGAGGCTAGCAGTTATACGGACAAGTTCCATATTTGCAATTCCAACCACTAATATCATGGCAAAAGAGCCAGTCAGGGGTGAGGCTGTTGAAGTTAATGCTTCCCTCCCACACCGTTGATTTAACAGGCATCAGACAAAATAATGGACAAAATAGCAAAATAAAAATACCCGGATCGTGTACAGTGGGTGAGAACATATGATGAGTCTCACTGCAGCAGTTACAGAGAGAAGGGTGACAATTTTTCAATGTACTGTAGTGAATTGGAGCCTGAATTGGAGGTGAGTCTATGGAGCCTGAAGTGTACCCATGATGACTTCCTATTTGGAATGCAGTAGGGGTGTGCAAAAATATCAAAATATTGATATATTGTATCGTTTAATGTGTTGATACAGTATCGATAGTGTGGGCTGCTGTATCGATATATATTGCCAAGATTATTTTTGGTATATTTGACTAAATTCTTTTGTCACAGCGCTACAGTTTTATTGCTCATTTAGTGGAAGGAAACTCATTTATGCAACGTATTTGACATATATTTCAGCGATAATTAAAAGAAATGTGTTTTATATTAACATTGCACATGAAGTGGTTTAACAAAGACTTTTAGGATCACAGCCATGATTTAGCCATTATTTTTTTATTGAACCGTATCGAATCGATTTGAAATATATTGTATAGAATCGAAAGCTCACTGTATTGAGATATCTATCTTATCATGGCCTATGTATCGAGGTATGTATCGTATCGGCAACTTCTTAATGATACCCAGCCCTAGAATACAGTGGCTAGCTAACCGTCTGAAAGATTCTAGATTTTGATGCTAAGTTCTTTTATTATGTTTATCCTCCCCGTTTATGAAAATATTTTATATCATGCCATTTATAGAATACACTATAAATGAATGAGCCTTGATGATGTTGTTTTAAAAGTACATTGTCATAGTGTGAGGCAAGTGGCGGAAGTGAATCCCCTAGAAGCTTCCCTGCAAATAGAACAACACTTGGTGATGTAACTGGAGGGTTGTTTATTAGATAGCACTCTGGAGCAGGTTCAGCAGTCCCAGAGCAGCTCACCATAGTCACCACAGTCAGAGTCATGCTATGGGACACTGGGCACTGATACTGTCCCCAAAGAGACACGTGTCCCCCGCCAGCACACTGGAGACAGGTGAATGATGTTAACAATGCAACAGCTTCTATATACAGAATATTAACCCTAACCCTACAGAAAGTGAAACAGCAACATTTAATAGGAACAACTGTGCTAGTCAGCTATTAAAATAATCATTCCCCATTTTATTAATCATCAGGAGTTATTTTTACTACATATATATAAAACTTGAAAACTGACGCTTCATGACATCACAAGGTGGAACAGAGCATTTTGAGATTTGGAAATGTAGACAGACTAATAACAAAAGCTTACTGAAACGTGTGTGAATAAAACAAAACACAATTCCAGGTGTTTTGGAGGAGATCATATTATAACATGAGTGAATATATTTTGCGTAATATAGGACCTTACATAGCATAAACAGGAGAGAGAATGCTTTTATATGACTCGACATAGCCTAACCTTGAAGAGTAGATATACCCAGGAAGAAAGTATCAGTGTTGTCTAGAAATTACATTAATAAGTGAATGTGGAAACTGAATAAAAATGGTGAGCATATTTTACATTGACACAAAATATCCATCATGTATATGATGACTGTAATTGACACGTGACATAAATACTAGGCTTATGATTGTCTCAGCTTTGACCTCTCTTCAGTCGTTGAGTCATTTCCGGTTCACTCATTCTCTTTAATATTCCCACATCTTAAGAGTCTCCTCAAATCCCACAGCACAGATCTGAAGGAGGCCGGGGGGTTGTCATCAGCCGGGCACGCTACATCCGCTTTAGTCAGCCCACTTAGCAAAGGCTCCAAGTATATTACTACTCACTTAGACATTTTTCTTTAGGTATTTCATATGAAACTGTAACATGCACAGCTTATTATTTGATATTTTGTTCATTGCCAACTGAAATATTGGTCTAAAACAACTTAATATTTGATAAGATTGACTATTGACCATTGACTTCTGTTCAGAACTGCAGATCTGATAGGTTTCACCTCTTCACAGTAGCATATCAATATAACAAGCAGTAAATTCAATTACTACAACTTTTTTTGTTCAAAAATGGCTATGGGGTATTTCTGAACCCTACATGTTTGACCTGCGTTCTGATATTTTTTAAAACGATCACAAGCAGTAGTGTGCACAGACATTTTGTGGGGCAGTTCAACATTAAAATCTGAGCTTCAAAAGCCTCTAAACAGTGAACATGACTCTGGTCTTGAATCTGACCTTTCATCTTCATTTGGCTTTGCTTTCATCCAGGAGAGCACAGAGCTGTTTCCCTGGGCTGCTGCTGTTGCTCCATTTGTCTTTCCTTTTTTAGCCTCTCCTTTCCAGGCATTATGCTGCAATTAGTAAATAACAACAGACCAAAAGTATATATAAGTCTGCTGGTGATATTACAACAAGGCAGAAGGGGATTTCTCTGCTGGCAAATGAGAACTGCCTGTTTGTTATTTAGTAAATAAAATTGTTAATTATGTAGCCTAATGTAAACCTACACAATAGTAAATATTCTGCTTAAGTTTACTGATAGATACACAAAACTCTATCGACACAAGTAGTATTGTCACGATACTAAAATGTCAAACTTGATTTTGATACAAAGGAATAGACTTGATACTGATTCCAGTACCAGCATGATAAGAAAAAAATGTTTTTATTTAGACAGTATAATGTAATTTTAAACATTAAATCATAGTACTTTCCTTTATATTATCATCTGGCCTTATATAATCCCTCAGTCATTCAGGTAGGTTCCATAGTGGTCCATGGGCGTATACTAGTGTGCTAGTATACTACTATGTGGTCTTCTACTTGTTCTGATACAGCTCAAGATCATTCTAAAGCTATTTATAAAAGGTTCATTTCTGTCAGTGTGTCTTTTTTAGTATCGATACTTGCTCAAATGAGTATCTAGTCTCAATACTCTCAGATTTTCAAGATGTTTGACAATCCTACAAGTAGGTACAATGTGGGTTGGGGGATAGGGAGTATGTGAAAACAATCATTTTCTGAGCACTGAAGCCTTAAATACAGGACAAAGCAGAATTAATCAAGCATGAATCAAATCAAAATAGAACTCTGAGTAAGCTAAATGATGAGGGAACAATTTTACAACATGACTGAAAGCTCAGACACGTCAGTTTTACATAATACACCTCCTTTAAGATACATGATTATCAGTACGTGCTGCCAAGGTGACTAACTAAGGTGGTCTTACTGAAACAAATGCACGTAGTAGCACTTTTCTTGTTGTTGGGGGAAACATGAAATCTGATGGATGAGTCAGTCCCACCCCGAGACACGCAACGAGCTCCGAGTCTGAGTCATCATAAATATTAGTCCAACCATGCAGCGCGCAGGTGAACTTCAGCAATCGGCTCTGTCCCTATTCACTTCCTGTTATTGTTCCGCCAGCCAATCGGATCAAAATATTGAAATAAAAAAGCCTTAACTGTGAATGAGTCCCATATCCAGAGAAGACGCTTGAGTTTTATTGCTCGAGCCGGAGCTATTCAGGAGATAATGGCCGCCGAACATTGCTTTGGTTCCCAGCGATTCCAAGCGGACAATGGGGGACTCTTCATATAGACAGTTTCTATTATGCACAGACTAGAGAGGCTGGAATACATTAACCTATTATATGAGCGCTTCACTGGGCACAAATTGGGAAAGTTGAAAATATTGTGGGTTTTAACTTGCACTTAGAATAAAATTTAGTGCAACACTATAATCCTGCTTAATATTTATTTTTTTAACAGTCAGGAAATTGCTTAAAGTTTTAATTGTATATAAACTTTTTTTAATTCAGTATGCATCACAGGCTCACACGTTTATCTTTTTTATATTTATGAATATGGACATAATAAAGATTGAAGGTCCAATGTTATCTTGAGTAAGCCTTTACTGTTAGTGTGTCTACATCTCCAAAGCTCAAAATCCTCTGTTCCAGCTTGTGATGTCATGATATGGTAGTTATCAAGGTAACAGCTACATTTAGTTTAGTACAAATTGGCAGTTCCAGGACTGAAATCATCCAAATGATCGTAGTGAAGGTGTATGGAGAGTTTTCAGTTTGAGAGCAAAACTCAGCCTAAATATGCAGGGTATTTTTTGATGAGGAAACAACATTATAACATCAGAAAATAGCATAATATAAGCCCTTTAAAAATATGGTGATCAAAATATGAAGAAGTCTCTTGGATGAGTGTTGAAATATTCTCTTTTGTACAGTTGAGAGAATCCAATTTAGATTTTTTTCAAGCAGGTATAGAATATTTACATTTACATGGTAAGAAATGACATAATAGGTTTGTATTTTTTAATATTTTACATAAATGCATACAGAGTTGGGGACTTGCAAGTTGTGACTCGGACTCAAGTCAGACTTGGTCACTATTTTTAGGACTTGAGACTTGGCTTGATAAAACTGACTAAGACTTGGAGCTCGACTTGAACTTGAAGGTCAGTGACTTGGGACTTGGGACTAGAGGCCTGTGACTTCAGAAGACATGGGAAGCACAAATCTAAATTCTTTCTATTTTGACCATAATGATTTACACTAAGCTCTTGTCAAGACATTTAAAAAGAAAAAAATAACTAAATTAATTTTTACAACACTTACATGCTCTATAAATACTAATATATAAATATACTATTTTTTTAAAGTACAAATTAGTTTAAAATTCATATAAATTGCAAAAATGTAAGCTGGTTGGTTTAAAGACTTGAAATGACTTGAAGCTCAAAGCAGATGACTTGGACTTGACTTGAATTTATGGGCCAGTGACTCAAGACTCGACTTGGACTTGCCTGTATTTGACTTGTGACTTGACTCAAACTTGTGGTCAAAGACTTGAGACTTACTTGAGAAGTGCAAAACAACGACTTGGTCCCACCTCTGCATACATATTCACAATACAGTAACAAATGTAAGGGAGTGGGAAGAAGAAAGACTCCCACCCCCTGTTCCTCATTGTGTACTTCCACAGTCCATTTACAAATCATATTCCTTGTACTCATTAAATGAATCTTTAATCTTGTTTTATGTGTGTAGTATCTCCATTCATGCATATTAAAATAACATTCTTTTGATAAGCAAAATATGGTTATTTTCAAAGTAGCAACCCCCATTCAAATAAGAAAAATAAGCCTCTTTTAGTTTGGAACCTGGTTGTAGGACAGAAAATGTGTAATTATTTGCAAGTTTTATTTTTGATTTTATTTATTTATTGTAAAATAATATTTTGAATTACCATGTTGTCACTTTTTATATTATTTTTTTAAGGTTAGAACAAAATAGAATACAAGGAAGAATACATGAATCCATAAAAACACAAACTAAAAAGGGATAAACACAATAGAATGACCTTTTGTCATTTCAGAAGGACAATCATTCCAGTACCCATTATCTTTACTTTACAAGTCACTGTTCACTATCCAGGGAGTGCAAAGGACTGTGCAAAGTCCATGAATAAATGATTTTCCAATTAAATACAAAATTTGCTGGCAAATTGATTACAGATTAATACTGACCAGTTTCATCGATACACTTTCTACATTGATGCTGTATTGACAACACACAACTGTCATCATTCCTCTCCCTTTGCACCCGTGAATCTAATCTCACTCTGATAAATGCACCCCTAATCTATACGTCTGCACAAGGTGCATTCTGATTGGCTGACATCTCGGTGACCACGAGCACATGCCACCACATGGTAGGAGCTGGGCGTGACCAGGGTGTAGCAAGTAACACACGGCTATCTGGGTCAGAGGAGTGACTCATCCTCCCCCCCTCCTCTCTACCTCCTCATCCTCTTCCCTTCCTTCCTGGTTATCCTTCCTCCTCTCATCCCTCCCTCTCTCTTCCTCCTCTCCTGCCGGTGCCTTCCCCCCGTTCATTCATGTGGCTCCTCCCCCTCCATCAGAAAACCCTCATTCATAAAGTCAGGGAGGCTGGGGAGCTGCGTGTGTGTGACCGTAGGCTATGTTGGTTGGCTGAACGCTGTGTTAGCCAATGGGGAGAAGTGCCTTTGACATCACCAGCTGTGGATGTGGAGATTGTATGGGCTCTATTCTTCTTGGCTCATCGTGCTGTATTGGTTTAGTATTGTAATGGAGGTTTTCAGAGAATGTGATGACGTCATTCTTTCAGATGGGGTGCAAGATTACTTTTTCTCTATTACGCTGTTGTCTGCCATGAAATATCTAAAAGGTAAATTTACGTGTTGAACCTGACAATTTATTTCTATGATTAACTCGCTGTATTAAAAGAAAGATTTGCATTTTAACAATATCAATTTTACCTGCCCTAGATCTCTGTATTAAATATTATTGGCCTGTACAATGTTGTGAGAACCCCGTTTGAAATAACTTGTAAAATTACCCACAAATGTGCAGAAGTATTATTCCACGCCCATTCCATTACAACATAGCTTTGTTAAATTATTATTATTTATTATTTTTATTTTTTTTGCAGCATTTTCCAGCTTTCTTTTTATTATAAACAATATATGTGATATTTGGGAAGATATTTCTATATCTTCAAAACAACAGTCATATTCTTAGCTAATTCAGAATAAGTTTACAGTTTGGCTAGTTAGGTTGCTTTATTAAAGGGCCCATGTTCTGATCTATGTTATAATGTTGTTTCCTCATAAAAAAAAACATATCGGAGTTGTGTTTTGATTCAGTCACATATATTTAACACACACATCCTGCATATCTTGAAAACTACCACTTCATGACATCACAAAGCAGAACAGAGCATTTTGAGGCTAATAATATTTCTTTAAATTACCAAATCAAAAACATATCCAGAGTTGTGTTTTGTTTCATTCTCACATGTTTGAGTAATCCTTTAAGAAACAAAAGTATGACAAACAAATGATAAAAGAGTTTATGCACAATGGGAAAAAGAAATCAATAATTCCTAGAAAACTGTAAACCTTAATTTATAATTGGACAAAATGTAAAATGTTCAAACATAATTGATTTCATGTACGGTCCTTCTAATCGGTTCAATACATCCAATTTTATTCTCATCAACCCACCATTTCACATTGGTTAGAATTGTGCAAATCTTTTCAGACTGGGAACTACAAGTTTGAGTCAATGAACTTACATCTTTTGTAGAATTTAACCATCTACTTATCAATCACGCATCAAAATCAGAAAGATAAATCAAACCATACTTTGTCGATTTTTGAGCTCTTCCTGTAACTATTTGAAGCATTCGAATGTTCTGGTTTTCTCCTAAAAAATGTTGCTTTGCGGTGCTATTTTTGGCACTGTAAACACAAGCACAAAGTATCAGTGGAGCTTTTTTGGCGTAGGCGTGAGCTATGCCGAGTGCCTTCTACACCAACGCTTTGTTTTTGTGCCGATAAAATTAGGTTCCTCCCACCGACCGATGTGTCAGTGGACAGGTCTAGCATCCAAGTGGGTTTATTCTCACGGACATGGCTCTGTTATGAAACTGGGCTGGAGTGCGCAGCTTGCCTGTAAAAGTTGTAGCGGTGCTGTGTGGGAGGGTACACAAACAAAGTACCATGGAGGCTGCACTGTCTGTAGGAGGTGTGTGCTCTCAATTTTATATTTAGAAAAACAACAACCCACATGGAGTATGATCTAACAGCTACAAAGAAAAATGGCTAAATTATAATACTCTTTATGATAAGTTGTACAGCTTTTGTCCAACCCTTCATATGTGAATAAGTGAATGTGCAGTGCAAGTTTTTTTCATGGAGTCTTTTATTACAGATATATTACTATTACTACTTTGTTAGAGGTAGGCATATTTACTTTGCCTGGCAAATCCAGAATGATATCTCTGCATTTTCTATACAGATTGATATCAGCCATGTACCCATGCCCTCTGTTGCACCTCAAACCCAGCTAACCATGTTGGTACAGTCAAATTGGTCTTTTTTCAGTGACACATGTGAAACCAAGGAGCTCATTGGTTACCTATGATTTACAAATTAATTTGTATCTCACCTCAGAATACCTGAATTTTGTGTCTCACTCATAAATTTTGCAGAAATCTGCAGTGTTTGTCAGTTCCCTGTGATATTTTTTTCCTTTATTTTTTCCAGTATGGATGGACATGTCATGATGCATGTCACTGACTGGCTATACCATCTAAAAACACATCTCACATCTTAATCAAGTATTAAAGAAGTGTCATCTTTGTAAAATACTTAAGTGTGCATTGTAGATCCCAGGCTAATGCTGTATTTATTAGCAATTGGACACATTACAAAAATAACGCATGCATTGACAGTTAATATACAGTACCATACAAAAGACTGCATCATTATATCAGAGCTAAGCTTGTGCAATAGGGGTAAACTAACTTTAATGTAAACAACTAGGATGTTTTATTTTCAGTGTAGTTCATCCCTTCAGACAGATATAACAGATATAAGGCAGTGACTTAACAGTTTAATTCTTAAAAACATTTAGGCAATTTGCAATATTGCGTTTTCTTTTGCCATTGTATCACATGTATCACAGTTGGCATCACATGTATCACAGGAATAGTAACCATGTATCAAATTCACTTCAGTGACTCAGATAAATATAAAAAAATATATAAAAAATGTTTTCATACTTTATCATTTTTTCTTTTCTCTTGCAGGAAGCGTGCATGTACCTGTTGCAGCACTATGACTGGTGTGTGGATCCCCCATCCCAGGATCTCCAGTACAAATGGCTGCCTGTGTCCCGCCCTGCAAACCCACCCACACTCTCCTTCACCTGAAGTCTGGTCAGGAGCACATGAGACAGCAGCTGCACATGCTAGGGACAGCCAGAGTGGTTAGTGACCTAGAGGGGAGAGTTTATAACAGTTTTGAATAGCAATGGGTTATCAATGTTGATCAGATGTTGTAAATTTAACTTATATTTGGCTACAATATTTTTGTGGCTTTGCATCAGTCTGAACTTTTCTCTAACTTAACAAAATGTAAATATGTGGGCTTTGCGATGACTTTTAAAAGAGTAATACTGGTATTGGCAAATATCGCCTAAAAGCTATAACAGCAAGAAAATGTCAGTATCACTTAAAAAATATATATCAGACCATTTTAGAGATGACTGAACTGAACTGTGAAATCATACATTATTGATTGCATGTTTGGCATAAATTTTTCTATTTGACTCAGGTTTTCATAATTAGCTGTTGACATAAGAGATTTTCACTCATAACCTGCTGTTAATAAGAGAGGTGTGAGGTGTTTTTTTTCTTTTTAGACTCTGTGACAGAGTGTGGAAATTTACATGAGAAAAAACATGGAAAAGTACAAGAGGATATAAAGTAAAATAATATTAGCAATATTATTTTATTATTATTATATTATATAATATATTTTAGCATTTTACCTTCCAAAACACCTTCCAGAATTATATTTTAATACAACCAGGAAATACATTCCATTCTGGTACCATATACAGTACATTCCGATGAGAATGTTCAGTTAATAATATATCCCAGCAAATATAAACACATTTTATTTTATTTGACGCTTTCACAATATAATATGCATCTATTGTTACCATGACTACAGTTGTATGAGAAAACAAACATTACTTAACCTGATATAAATTAAATGCTATATATGAACACGATATACTTATCTATTTAAAGGTACAGTTTGCAACTTTCTGGAGAAGCCACATCACCTACATAATTCCATGGAGATAGAAAGTTAAAACCATGTATCTATGTTCCTCATCAAAACCTCGGCCCATCCTCATCTTAAGTTATCACCATAAGCACGTAGAACAGCATGTAGAACTTTGTACGGAACTCACCGCACATCTGCCCGGAGCAGAAGCACTTAGTTCGAATAACAATAGCAGCCCACAGCGGTAAAGACATGGGAGCATTCACTGTAGTGCACAGCCCCTCAGGACAGAGCTGGGGGTCTGGGTCCTTGGTCTTGTACCATCCTCCGAGCGAGTTGGTCAGTTAGGTACAGAGGCTCTGTCCTCCATGTGCTGGTTCCAGACGGAGGCGAGTAAGACCAGTGCGCAATGGACTGGGTCCGAGTGGTTCTGTGCCGTCCTCTGTGCACTGGTTCCATGCGGAGAAAGCGAGAATGCGCTATGGACTGCAGGTCCGGGCGGGCTGCTTCAGTCCTTCGTGCTTGAGGGCTGCGGCTGATTTCAAGGTGATGCAAAGCATTCAGACAAAAGCATGAATCCAGTTTGTTTTGTTAAGTTGTTCTGAGGGGTCCATCCTCCGCACATGTGTTTTTTCCCGGGGAAAGCACTTCTCAGGCCAAGGCACCTAACATCACTCCCCGCTCCAGCTCCTCTGAGCCCGGCCTGAACCAGAGCTGCTCCTGCTGGGTCAGGACTCTGGTTTGGATCTAGTCCGGGTATAGCATTTCTCACACTAGGCTAAATGCAGTTAATTTTATAAGTTGAATCAACTGAATAGGAGCTATTCAGTTTAGGCTGCCTGTGGCATTCACCCTGTTGTCTTTTTTCACATTTGGGTCTGTATTGCTTAACAGTTCGGAGATGGTGACCCCCGAGATATTGATGGGTATTTCGCACACTGCTTATATCCACTGGAACAACATTTCAGTAGCTTCAAAGAGGTTCATTTTGGTGTTATTTGGAAACAGCTTCATAGAAACAAGTAGAAGTAGGTTTGTAGAGATGCAAACCCAATCCAGGCAAATCCATTCAATTTTTTGGCTAAAAAGTCTCATAATGTGGTTTTAAATTTAAAAGATGTCTTAATATACAAAGTCAGTGCAAGGTTAAAAGTACTAGCTTAATATTAATACATTGTTGGATCTTACCAAAATTGTATCAATTAATAGACCTGAGTTTGGATAAATGCTTTTTTTTGTAAATCCAACAAGTAGCACAATAATACTCTGCAATATAGTAGGCATCAGAACAGCAGAACCTCCCATTCATAACAACAGAACTATAAATGAAACCAGTTCTATAAATAGCCATATCAAGCAGCCCATGTCCATTGTGAAATCAAGGACGCAGGCGGAGAGGTAGAGCTCTGAGATTCCATCACTGACAGACTGCAGACCTGTCTCCCCTCCCCCTCCGACACCTAGCAACCAGTGCTTAGCAACAGTTCGTCATCCTCACACCGAGGCTGCTTTTAGTATGCAAGTCACACACACACACACTCAGACCTGCTTATTTTTGAACACATTCACATACAGGCAGTGATCAGCTCCCAGTGAATCACATGAAAAGCATATACCAGCAGGACGCCGCCTCCAGCTGACCCACCCCCAACACTTAGTAGCACATGACTCATAATAAGTGCGATTATTAATTAGGAAGGAGATGTTTTAATTGCATATTTATTCCTAAGTGCGTACGTGAGCGTTGAAGTCCACCATGTACTTGCGTCACTTGTCTTAATGTGTAACTTAAGAATGTAGGCTGCTATGGCGAGGTCAAGTACAAAGTGTGAAAATTTTATTCGTAAGTTGTTTACTATGTTTTTATTATTGTAACTGTGTCAATAACTTGTGAGTCATTGCCACAAGGTCAAGAAGTTTCTGAAGGTACCATATGTAGTGCTATAATGATGCAATGCTACAACATATCCCCATATCCATAACTGCTAAAGGGACACTATGTTATTGCTTTGACAAGAATGTTCCACAGTATAGCATTTTAAAGTACTATATTATCCAGATTGGCTATTGTGAGCTTTTAGCCGTATTAGAACATTGTTAACTCATCAAATACATACCCAGAGTTGTGTTTTGTTCACACGTGTTGGAGTAACCCATTAGTGTATCTACATCTCCAAAGCTCAAAATGCTCTATTCCACCTTGTGATGTCATGAAATGGTAGTTTTCATGTTAACAGCTACCCTTTACATTTTGTTCAGTAGAGATTGGAAGTTCCACAGCTGAAATGATCCAAATGGTTCTAGTTAAGGTGTATGGCACACAACGGAGCACTTCCTGTATTACCGCTTAACATCACAAGGAGAGTATTCAATGAGGAAATCAACATTATAACAGACATCAGAAAATAGCTTAGTCCTTTAACTGATAATACTTTATGGTGAAGTGTTGGGCATTTTTTGTAATAAAAACACCTAAAAATGAATAAATAAAAATCTCTTAAATGCCATGCTTTGGAACATTCCAGGCAAATTAATATCATCTCCTTGGTGACAAGTAGGTAGCGGAGCCTCCACCAAAAACTTTACATATTGCACCATTAATAGTTACATTCAGTATTCTGCTTAACAAAATGTATTGTTATATTTCTGCAAAGATTTGAAAATGTCCAAAAACAAAAATAATTTTACAGAGTGGAAATGTATGAATAATATTTTAATAGGCTGCCTTTTATTGCTCTATTTATATTTGTGCAGGTTTTATTAACTGTATTCTTATCCATAAAGCATAATGTAATGCAGACTTGATCTTTATTAAGCTTGATGACAATAAAGCTTTTACAATGAATTAAGCCATGTGATTACTTTAACATTTTTAATTGGGGATATCACACTTCTACGGGGTATTAATTGCTAAAACATTGCATATAAAACCTGTTGTTTTTAATGAGGGAACAACATTGTAACATGGTAGAAATTTCCAAAAACTTGATTTTCCATAATACTCCCACTATAAGATAGACAGCACCAACCAATTGCAAGGAATACCCTATTGCCGTGTCTTGTATACAGTTATTCATATTTAAGTAAGTACCTCCGTCATAAGTAAGTATTTACCATAACTGGCACACTTAGGTTTTATTTGTCTGAGTGCGCAATGTGTAGAATGTATGGCACGCAGTTAAATCGTCCTTGCCATCTCCCTAAGCAGCTATAGGCATGTGTGTGAGAATACTCCTTTTGTCCCTCAGATTGACTGGACAGACCTCCTCTGTTCTCAATGCAAAAAAAAATGTACATATGCATATTTTGAACCTCTCGTTTGTTCATTGTATCTGTTCAAGGGTTGTCACATTATTAAAATTTAAAACTTGAGAGGCAGCAAAATTTGCCAAATCTATGTCACAGCCACTTCCTTTCACTTAAGTGAATGATTGGAAGTGGCACGTGTCTTGCCCAAGAACACATTTTCTTTATTTTTTCTCCTGTTGATATAATAATGGCTTCTTTTCTAGTCTTTCTTCCAGTAGTTTTGTGACGTATATGTTCTCATTAGCAGCCCAATTCTTCTTACTGTGCAGTCTTAGAGGATGCTCCAGATTTAAGATGTTATTTTCTCAAACAATTTTTTTCATTTGGAAGTTTGATGTTTTCCAATTTCAGTTGTGCATTTTCAGCAGCATAATCAAGACTTCTCAGTAATTGTGCTGCCAACTTGTCCTCCAGCTCTTCTATAACTGTAAAAAAAAGTCTCTTTTGCACAAGCTTCCTTTTTCTCATTTAGACTCACTTAATTTTCCAGACTTGAGATTTTATTTTGAAGATTGGTGTTTTCACATTTTAGTTGATAAATCTCATAAATGTAACCTTGGCAAGGGCCTATCACTGCCACTTGCGATTATATTTTCTACTTACTTTTTACCTCAATTTAAGAAGCATTTTAGATCAGACTTTTGCATAAAACCTGATCAATCAAAAAGTGTAAAGGTGTTCCTGGATTGAGTAACCTCTTTTTAAAATGTAAGTCAGTACAATTACATGGCTAGAATTATGCTCAAAAATCTTCTCAAAAAAGTAAAATTACCCCAAAAATTTACTCAATAACAGGAACATGAATAATTACTTCTTATCCAGACCTATAGAGACCTTAGTATTACTAGTTTTATTATATACAACACTTCTCTGTTCAAACAGTATATCAAATCTGTGCAAGCTCAAATTGGGTGAAAAATGACTCATAACCACATTTCCTGTCCATTAGCTGACGTCGCTACTCTCAACAATTTTGAAAAAAAAAAAAAAAACTTTACATTTAGCGATATGCACAGGATACATATATCTGCTTTATTTCCTCCATTTTCCAACTGCCCTTTAAATCATCCCTGACCCTCTCCTCTTTACCCTCATGATCCAATTTGACACACTTTAAGGACCCCACAGTTTGTAGATTGGATTTCCTTGTCTCGGCTCAGGAAACAGAGGAGTTGATCAGACTTGATGTGGTTATGGCAGCGGTGAAGAGGGTATGATCTGTCTTGTACTGTACGGGAAAGGTCTGTGCCTGGACATTGTTAAGTAGTCTGTTTGGCAATCTTATGTAACTGCGTTGAGGCAAAGGGTTAAAGGCCCTGTGTGTATGTTTTTTTTCCCCATATATCTGAGCAAAATTTGCCTTGTATAAGCAGCTCTTGAGGTCAAAACAAGTCCGCGGCATGCTGTCTGCAGTCTTAAGCTTTTTATTGTTCGATAGTCAGGAAGTTATCTGTATCTGTTATCATGCTAGTTGTTGTTATGGAAAATCTCTGCTCTAGCCTCTGAGAATTGTGAAAAGTGCTTATAAAAACATCATGGTGAATAATTAGGATGCTTAGAATGCATACAGTAAGTGAGCAATAACTTTGGGCCACTGCAAACCATTTAATATAATCTAGTTCTGTTTTTCTAGGTTTTAAAACAGTAAAAATCTGTTATAGTGCCTTTTAACTGTATAGCTGCAATACAAAGTTGCTCTAAATATAAAAAATAACTACTTGGTTGTTGTGTTCAGCTAAACTTTCTCTATGAATATGGTGTGATATTGACAAAAAATAGTACCTGGATATTTTTGACTACCCCAATGATAAAAATGAGACAGTGTTGCAGCAAAACTTTTAAAGTACTAAAATACGCAAGGTTGTGGTGAATAGATCATAAAATTAACCACAAAAGCACAGGACCCTGTTTTATTTTTTACTTTTTTAATTATCTCTTTTTGGTATATGCTTTTTGGAGCTTTTTTAAATACTTTTTAAAACAGAAAATATTCTCAGTATTCTGCTTTTGCTTATTTAGGGTCTATCTAGTGTGTGATCATGACTGATGGAGATCTGAGAGGCTGTTGGTTTGGAAATGCAGCCCCACCTTTATCAGTCAGCCCCAGGGCAGGATGTGGCTACAAAACAACAACGTCTCATATACCACCACCTCCCAGTTTGGAGAATGAGCCTGATCTACCCTAAAAAGTGTTTTGAGAAGCTTGTCAAACATGTAAAGATGTAAATGTGATGTAGGCAGTTGTTTGTGCCATTAGAGCACTAAAGTTGTGTTGCTGGTGCAGTCTGAACAGTCGATGGGAGTGTATAATGCTGTTACGTCAGTACAGTGTCTCAGCTGTGTGCAGACTGTCAATACAAACATGAAAGAGTACGCACTTCAATGCAGCTCTGTGTGCTGGCATTGTCTTCAAAGCAACAATACACATTTTGAAATAATGAAATCCTTTTACTGGTAATTAAAATAGAACATTCTCTTTTATATTATTCTTATATACCACTAAGCTGGATGTGATAAAACGTTATTACAGAAATTGCTATTCAGACACTATATCTTTGAGTTTTTACTTTTATTATCATCATGGTAAGTCTCACCCAATTGCAGCTTTTCCAAAAAAAATGCACAGTACATATAGATGATATATTACGCAAAATTTTTTCTTGTGAGCTTTAAGCCATGTTATAATGTTGTTACCTCCTCAAAAACATACCTGTAGTTTTGTTTTGTTTCATTCACACATTTGAGTGAGCCTTTATTATTAGTCTGTGACTTGGATTCGAGTCAGACTTGAGTCACTATTTTTAGGACTTGAGACTTGACTTGATAAAATGGACTAAGACTTGGGACTTGACTTGGGCTTGAAGCTCAATGACTTGGGACTTGTCTCGGACTTCAACCCTGTGACTTGAGAAGACTTGGTGCTTCTACTAAAAAAAACAACAAATATGTATGGATTTAGAAAATACTTTTCTTTTTACAGTTGATACATGCGGTGCTTAAGTTGGCAGAAACTGGAACATGCCCCCCACTTTTCTGTTTGTAACCTTAGATATAACTGAAGTATTGTGAGATGGTATCATCAAATGTACTACCATAATATACTGTATATACAGTACAATACAGTAATACACAGTATATACAGTACAATACAGTTTAACAGCGGGAACTACATAGGACTAGATCTTTCTATTTCATTGCTGACTACACAACAAAATAACTGGATTTTAAAATCTGAATTCTTTCTATTCTGACCGTAATGATTCACATTCAGATCATGTCAAGACATTTAAAAAGGAAAAAGTATAATTTCTGCAGCTCTTAACATAACATAACATAACTTACCATAACATTAACAACATAAATACTCATATATAAATATACCATGACTTTTTAAGTACAGTTTAGTTTTTAAAAAATCATATAAATTGCTAAAGTCTTAAGATATTTTTGGTACTTTGGTTTAAAGACTTGAAATGACTTGAAGCTCAAAGCAGACGACTTGGACTTCACTTGGACTTATGGGCCAGTGACTCGAGACTCGACTTGGACTTGCCTGTATTTGACTTGAGACTTGACTCGGACTTGAGATCAAAGACTTGAGACTTACTTGAGACTAGTAAAACAATGACTTGGTCTCACCTCTATTAGTCTGTCTACATCTCCAAAGCTTAAAATGCTGTGTTCCACCTTGTGATGTCATGAAGTGGTAGTTTTCAAGTTAACAGCTACCTTTTTACCTTGTGTTCAGTAGAGAGACTTCCAGGGCTGAAATTGTCCAAATGATTCTAGTTGTATGTTTAATATGACACCACATGACATCACAAGGTGCACTTAGACTTAGACAGACTTTACTGAGCCATAAGGGAAATTACTTGGACACAGTAGCGCATACGTCACATTATATTACAATAACAAAGAGATAAAAATAGTATGTTCAGTTTGAGAGAAGAACTTGGCCTAAATGTGCAGAATTTGTGTGCTAAATATATGAGAATGAAACAAAACACAACTCCAGGTATGTTTGTGATGAGGAAACAACATTATAACATAGAGTGGAAAATAGAGTAACCCTTTAAAGTGTAACTATTATAAAGTGATGCGAGATATACTGATTGCTTCTTGCTGAGTAGATTTTAGTTGTAGGACATAGCCAGTGGAGGAAACTGCTCCACTTGAACACGCCTCAGCCCTGTCAGTGTGTGATGGTATCAGATGGTTTATAGCTGCTCATGATGATACTCTTATATTTGTGCTGCGTCTCGGCTCCAGTGAGTGCACAAGATAAATGAGACAATTAAACACATCATGATGGCACCTCAGTGACTAATGCCTCAGTCTTCTTCCTTCTTTCCTATCACAGAAAACACAGGAACAAACATCGGGCCTGGTGTAGTACAGGAAGAGTGTGT